AGGCCAGCCTGATCTACAGAGTGAGTTCCAGGACAGCCAGGGCTACACAAAGAAACCCGGTCTTGAACCCTATCACCACCAAAAAGAAGCTTCTCCAACTAAAGCAGTCACCAGCACTATTCTATAAGCACAAACAACATATTTAGAAATCAATTTGAGAGGAACATCATGTCCATGCAAACAACAGCCATAGCTTCCCCCCTTAGGGCCTATGACCTCCCTAGCCACAGGTCCCTGACTAAGTTTATACTACCGGATGTGAATGCTGTCCTGTGGAATAGGCATCAAATCTAATCAGCAAGCAGGTGGTTACCCCCCACCCCTGTCTTAGTTTTCTAAGACATAGTGATAACACACCCTGGCCAAGGCAACTTACAAAGAATGTGTTTTTTGAGCTTATGGTTTCAGAGGGTTAGAGTCCATGATGACATGGCGGTAGAAAGAGCCAAGAGCACACATCTTGATCCTCAAGCATGAAGCAGAGAAAGAACACAATGGGAATAGTCCAAGTGTTTTGAAAACTTAAAACCCAGCCCCAGTGATATACCTCATCTGACAAGGTCACTCAGCTGTCCCCAGACAGGTCCACCAACTGAGGACCAAGTATGTAAACATATGGACCTATGGGGGACATATCATTTAAACCACTACACCCCCATACCAGAATTGCCACTGTTGCAGCAGTGGGCTCATCTTACCTTGCTGGGTGGTATTCTTGCACACTGGTCTAAGTTGTTACAGCTCTTCACTAGCAACCCAAAAGTATTAAAAAAAAAGTGGGGGGATTAAAAATCACTTCTTGTGATTTAAAAGTTTAAAAGTTTCTAAAAAATATTTTATGTGTGTGAGTATTTTGCCTACATGTAAGTATGTGTACTACATACATGCCTGGTGCTCATGGAAGCCAGAAGAGGGCATCAGATCTGGAACTGGGGTTATAGACAGTTGTGAGCAGCCATGTGAGTGCTGGGAACTGAACCCAGGTCCTCTGCAAGAGCAACAAGTACTCTTGAGCTATCTCTCCAGCCTCCTCCTCTTGGATTATTAAAGACCATTTTTTTCTATAGTTTAAGAAAAATCAGGTGGTTTTGTTTTTTGATTTTGCTTTTTATTGTTGTTGTTTTGTTTGGTGGGGGAGGTTGTTTTTTGGGGTTATTTTGTTTTGTTTTGGAAATGCAATCTCACTATATAGCTCAGTCTGGCCTTAACCACATGATCCACCTGCCTTTGCCCCGAGTGTTGAGATTACAGGTGTCTGCCAGTGTTTGTGTGTACATGTGTGTTTTGGCTAGGACTGAGTGAGTTTTCTCCAAGACCAGTCACCACAATCTATTCCAGAGTTTTGCTCTTGGATTACGTCTTTAATGTGTCTCTCTGTGATAAGTCTCAATGAGGCCAGTGTCTCTTTCAAGCTACCAGAGTGAGTGCTGCAGCCCTCCTGAAGCTGTTCTTTGCCATCTATTTTCCACAGTCCCTCTGCCTCTCTTGGACTGGGGTCCAGGGGAGTCCAGGAGTGTGTTCCTTGCCCCTCTGTGTGTGTCTGGAAAATTTACTACTGTAAATCTTCCCAGCTGAATCATAGAATCCCAAAGGAAAGAGAGCCATGGCCCTGCCTTTTCCTGTGAGGGTCCTGAGGCTCAGCAAGCTGATCACTCTATACCAGAACTGTATCCAAACCTGTTCTCCTCATCCCCTGGCCCTTCACTCATTATTTCCACCTGAAATCATTCACACTGTTCACCCATCTCCCCCATCAAGCCTGGACCTCAGACTTAACTTGATTTGACTCCTGAGTGTGTGCCAGAGATAAACCGTGTTCCCAGAAGCATAGAGCTCAGAGCCCTCCCTTCTCCGGTCACTGTCACCTCCTTCTAACCTCTGGGGTGTTTATACGTCCTCTCTGCCACAGTTGGGGGAAGAGTCTTTTTCTTTTGGTGCCTGAAGGAGAAAACCTGTCAAACCCAGGAATGTGGTTGCTGGGAAAAGGTTAGGATGCAGCATCCATCAGCAAGAGGTATCTCAGAAATATGCAGTGAGAGGCTGCAGTCCAGGGGCCTCGAATCCCTTATTGCTTTCGGCTAGTGCAAATCAGAGAACAAATTACACACCTGTCATCAAAGCATGAGGCCCATAAAATGCCAAACTGGAGAGTGACTCCTCTGTAATCTGGGCCTGAGGACCTAGTGAGAAATAAGTATTGCCGGAGTTGCTGGTTGAACTGTATGACGTACACAACCTGGCTCCCAGACATGCCTCCTCTAGGTAGCTGGAAGGAGCCTGACTCTCCTTCGGTGGCAGATCTGAGGCTAACAGCTATCCTTGCTATTGATATGAGATTCCTTCCAGTTTATGAGTCAAATTGCTCTGCCCATGTGCACTCTACTAATAGAACCCCAAAGCTTGCCTTGGCTGTGGTGACTAAGCCCTTCTGCAAGTAACCAGTCTCCTTGAAGGAATAGGAGACACCCTGGTGTCTTAAGGAAGAAGCAATATGGCGGCCGCTAGAGAAACCTGTTGTTCTTCTGTGTCACTTCCTAGGGGGACCAGACAGCTTTGCACCGGGCCACTGTGGTGGGAAACATTGAGATCATCACAGCGCTTATCCGTGAGGGATGTGCCCTGGACAGACAGGACAAGGTGAGAGGGATGGTAAGGCCTGCAGGACCCTGGGGAGCTGAGGAGCCAGCATGACTTGCTGTGATGTGCTCAAGATGTTGTCCACACAATGAGAGGTCAATAAGAGAGATCAACCCAGATTTCTCTGAAAGATGAGGACCCCAGCAGTTGTGTTTGTTTACAAGCCCTTCCCACTGTTCTGTGACTCTGTGCTAGCAGCTTTAGTCCAGGTCATTGTAGACGTTTGTGAAAACCTGATGGTGGTGGCTTATGCCTTTAATCCCAGCACTTAGGAGGCAGAGGCTGGTGGGTTTCTGTGAGTTTGAGGTCAGCCTGGTCTACAGAGAGAGTTCCACGACAGCCAAGGATACACAGAGAAACCCTGTCTCGAAAAACAAAAACAAACAAACAAAAAAGTAAGTCTGTGAAAGTCCACTGAAGGTGGGGGAAAGGCACCCTCAGAGGCTCTGTTTCTTTCTTTTCTTTCTTTTTTTTTTTTTTTTTTTTTTTGGTTTTTTGAGACAGGGTTTCTCTGTGGCTTTGGAGGCTGTCCTGGAACTAGTTCTTGTAGACCAGGGTAGTCTCGAACTCACAGAGATCGACCTGCTTCTGCCTTCCAAGTGCTGGGATTAAAGGCGTGCGCCACCAATGCCCAGCAATTCTGTTTCTAAAATGTGAAAGAAAGTTAGATTTTTTTAGCTTTGAGGAAAAAGAGTGAACCGAATGATTTCTTTCTTCACAGAATCCTAATGACACATGTGTACTAACCAGATTTTTTAAGTTGTCAAATCTTAAAATGTGGGACTTTGTATTTAAGTGCAGAACGGCCTCTGTGTCCTTTCCCCTCACAGCTTTTCATTAAAGTGTAACATCTGTGCAGAAAAGTGCACAGACGGTAAGTGCGCACGGCCCTCAGCCATCGGAAGGCTCCAGGTCAGGAGGGGTGCCTCTGCAACCCAGAGCCCTTCTTGGTCTTCCTGCCTCTTGCTGAGCCTTGTGGCCCCTTGCCCTTCCCAGCCTTGTCTCTGGAACCCTGTTTGTCCTGGTGTGGGTTCCAGGTACATTGGGCCTTAGCTCTTTTGGGCACATCTCTGGATGGAGAATGTACTCCTGCTCTGAGCATGTTTACATGTGTGTTCCAACTTGTCCATATTTCATCCCCTCTCTCATTAGCAAATGGAAGCCATTTTATTAGTCTGTATTTAAAAGCCATGTATCTAGAAATCTTGTTTGGCCCATTTACAATCATTGTTTCTTCACTGGTCATTTAGAATCCTGGGGGTTTTATACTAACCTAGAGACCACTAAATTTTGATGAAGAGATGGGTATGCTGTTATATGCCTTTAATCTTTTTTTTGTTTTGTTTTGTTTTGTTTTGTTTTTGGAGACAGAGTATCTCTGTGTAACCTTGACTGTTCTAGAACTCGCTCTGTAGACCAGGCTGGCCTTGAACTCACAGAGATCAGCCTGCATCTCTCTCCTGGGTGCTGGGATTAAAGGTACTGGGATTAAAAACTCTGGGCAACCACCACCCAGTCATGTGCCTTTAATCTTAGCTCTCACAGGATCTCTAGATTTGAGAACAGCCTAGTCTACATATGGAGTTCTAGGCCAGCCAGGGCTAAATAGTGCTCTCTTAAAAACATAATAAAAGTTTGGGGTGAAAAAATGGGGTTGGTGGAATCATCTACCTACTGGCCTGCTGGGCCTTATAAGGCCCATTTGCAGGGTTTCTTCTGTCATCAGGAACATGGTGGAGCCTAGGGGACAGTGGAGATGGAAAGGAATGACAGTGGGCCATCCTATAGACAAGCTGTGGGAGGCCTTAGAGCCTTTCTGAATGGTGCACCTCCAAGCAAACTTAGGCCCTGACTCAGGTACCCACCTGCTGTTTCTTCTCCATGTGTCATGAATAGCTCTTGTCCTCTGCTGTCACTAGGAGAATGGAGAGAGTGGCCACTCAAATATTTCTGTGCTCTGTGGTTCTGATGGGCCCCACTGAGGAAAGCCCTGTAGCCATCTCATCATGTGTTGTTTTATCGAGAAGAGCCAGACCCTGGGTAACGTGCTGTCTTCCAATGTGTTTACTCAGGATGGAAATACAGCCCTCCATGAAGCTGCCTGGCATGGATTCAGCCAGTCAGCCAAGCTGCTTGTTAAAGCGGTTGCCAGGAACAAGGTGAGGCCCAGCAGCTGACCTCCTCCTTCACAGATGAGAGACATGGGAATCTTTGTCCTGGTTTGTCTCCTGTCTATGAGAAGAAGTGCCAGGCAAAGCTCACTGGGGCATGGAGAACCCTGCATGGCAGGCTCACCTAGAAGGCTCCCTGCAGAGAGGTAGGAGGGCTGGTGCCCCAGGCAGGGTAAGTGTGCCACAGTGATGAGACCCCGCTAGTGTGAGAGACCCCTGGCTGCTGCTGGGAACTTGTCCTCATCATCTGATACTATTACAAAAGGACAGCTTGGCATGGAAGATGTTGGCAGAAAACGAAAATGCTGGTAGTCAGTAGCAGCATGGTAGGGTAAAGTTGGCTGGGGACATGGAATTGGAGCAGCTAGCTGCCTTTGGGAGGCAAGCTGTAAAACAGAAGTGATTCTGTAGGATTGGAGATATCACTCAGGGTAGACCACTTGCTTCTCATGCACAAGGTTCCCAGGTCAATCCCTGGCATCACATAAAAGGAAAAGAAGTTCTTACCTATTTGTGTGGTAGCTACCATCCCAGGTTTCAGGTTTTTTTTGGGGGGGGGGTTCCAGCCAGGGTTTTTCTGTATTGCTTTGGAGGTTGTCCTGCAACTCCCTCTGTAGCCCTGGCTGCCCTCGAACTCACAGAGTTCTGCCTGCCTCTGCCTCCCGAGTGCTGGGATTAAAGGTGTACACCACCAGTGCCTGGCATGTTTTCATTCTTAAAGTAGCAAAGTATCTAGGGAAACTTTATCCTTAAGTATATCTATGATAGCAATAAGTAAAACAGTAAAAAAAAAAGTGCAGGAGAGGAATATAAAGTTATTCACTCAGCAAAAACACAATTAATATCATTTAACTCACAGTTTCAATGACAATGTTATGAGTCATGAAAGAGCATGACAGAGGACTACATGGTCATACATACATGCCTCAATGTTAATGTGAATTTACAGTTTTTAAAAACTAAGCCTGGGGGCTGGAGAGATGGCTCAGAGGTTAAGAGCATCGACTGCTCTTCCAGAGGTCCTGAGTTCAATTCCCAGCAACCATGTGGTGGCTCACAACCATCCCTTATGAGATCTGGTGCCTCTTCTGGTGTGCAGATATACATGGAAGCAGAATGTTGTATATATAATAAATAAATAAATCTTTAAAAAAAAAAAACTAAGCCTGGAAAGGTATCACTGGAATATTAACTGTAGCTATCTACTTAAATTTAGACTTACTAATTTTTGATGTTGTTTTTACTTTTGTCCCTTGCCTAAAGTTTCTAAACTGAACTGATTATTTCTTCAACCATTAGGAGAAGAGACATATGATATTTTAAAAGTAAAAGAAAAATTGTCAGTACTCTTAGAATATTTTCAATAGTGTTGACGAGTTGCCTTTTCTTTGTTTGAATGGTCAAGATGGGTCTGTGGCCAGTGTGTAAAGAGCCTGAGGATTTCCCACAATGCACTTGCATGGATGGTGA